GAGCGCGTGCATTCAGGGGAGTGCTCCCTAACCTCGAGCGAGGTCACTAAGGTACATTTTCTAGAGGAACAACCAACACCAACTAGAAAAAAGGTTAACGAAGTACAAAAGTGGAGAGATTGTGGAAATCACCCTACTTAAAATTTGTAGGTTTTTATTCCCGCGGTTAATTCAAAAGGCTAATTTGACTTAGTATACTGACTTAAGCAGTTATGGTAGGCAGTGACCTTCGGAAGACGGCTCTGTAGTTCAATGCCATCATCATATCGCTGCTGAATCGACAGATGGCGTGTAGAAAACTGGAAGATTACGGGTAATTCAACCTACTCAATACATTTAAATAGGTCGCTATAATACATAAGGACTTTTCGAAGACCCTACTTGGACACCCTACCTAGAAAAAACAATCTCACAAGAAGGGCGTTCACCAATCAGGTTATGAGATGTGAGCAGTCTTTTGCGTCTTGAGGTTCAAACTAGAAGCCTAATGCAGGAGGGGTTGCCGCAAAAAAAAGTCAAAAACCCCTATCAAACATGACACGATTATGAATTAGTCAGAACCAGAGTTGAAAGCATACTTCAGGACTACTAGCTTTGCGACTTTATTTGAAGAACGTACCCGGTCAATTAGATCGCGATTGACGCAGTTAGGCAGTTGTGTGAGGAAGGTCTCCATGAGCATCTTCGCGTTGGTGGGCCCCTCCTCTTCGTCTGAAAATGCAACAATCATGGAAATAAGCGTAGAACCGCGAAGGGAGAGCATATTTAAGAAGGAACAAGGTTTGCTCTCTGTAGGTTCAGCACTACAGAACTAGAGTTGAAAGCAGATGACTCGTGATAGCACCGTAAACAGTTTTGCATTGAGAAAAAATGTCCAGAAAACGGTTACCAGTGCCTCAGCTCTAAACGGAGCCATTGGGAGGGTTGTCTGAGAAGTACCCTGTCCTAAGATGGTCAACGAAAAATATAATGGGCGTTTTGTATCTGCTCTGACAGGCTACTGCTTCCGACTGACAAGAAGCAAGCGTTAAATTTCTTGTCGGATGCACACGACATGCATTTCTAGGTAAGATTCACTCCTACTTGACTCAGCCGTCCTGATGGCGAGAGAATAAAACAACAAAAGAAGTAGTAGGAGCACTCACGGTCGTCGGTCTTCTCCTTGTCCTGACTGGAGGACTCGACGCAGGAGGAGGGCGGAAGGAGACTGCCAGGGCAGACCAGTTCCTCTGCGGCCAAACGGTCGGCCTCCTCGGCTATCTCAATCTCTACCTTGTCCACATCCAACTCTGCACAGAAAAGAAACAGTAAAATAAGATGAGCTAGGTAGTAGAGGAGTGCATTCAGTGCGGCTACGGCGCAGTCCACAGCCACGACGAAGACAAACCATTAAAATCCAGATCACGTGAGGAGG